CTAAGGAACCGTTTATGTCAGGACACTTTTCAATGTCGAAATAAAGAGGATATAGATGCCAAAGTGGAAACGTTCACAAGTGCCCTGGTTGAATCGTTCGAGGACAGCTGCCCACTTTTCGCAAACTATTTAACCGGGCACGGCGTAAAAAGACTGCAGTATACTTGGATGAGTATCGTAATAAACTTGGTGAATATAAGAAAATCGTTCGAAAAGCCAAACGAGACTCCTGGAAACTTTTCTGTGAACAGGTAGATAGCGTAAATGACGTATCGAAGATAAAAAAATTCCTATCCAAAACTCATGTCCAACCGGAATCTATGATCGATGATCGGGCAGGAGGCTTGAGGATATGGAGGAGACAATGAAACTCCTAATGGATTCTCATTTCCCACCCGGTATATCGAATAACATAGATGAACCGATATTGGAGGAAGGGGAGGGTAACACGGAAATAGTTATTACAACTGACATGATTAAAGCGGCAATCAAGAGCTTTGCTCCCTATAAAGCTGCAGGGCCGGATGGAATTTTCCTGGCACTTTTGCAGATGGAGGCGGGACTGGTTTCCGTACATCTGTCACAGATATTCACTGCATGCTTAAAATTGGCATATACCCCAGTTAAATGGCAGGATGCAAGGGTAATATTTATACCCAAACCAGGGAAACCTAGCTATGCAACACCTAAGTCCTATCGACCGATAAGTCTTACCTCCTTCCTACTTGGACGTAAGTCGATAGCATATTTAAAAGCAGTATACCATACAAAGACCTTAAATATAAGCAGCATGCTTATGTAAAGGGACGATCGGTGGAAACCGCTTTAAATGAAGTTGTCCACTACATAGGTGAATCTTTCGATAGCAAACTGTATACACTGGCGGAATGCATTGACATCGAAGGCGCATTCAATAACGTGCACACTGATACCCTTATCCAATCCCTAAACCAGTTTTATGTTGACCGGGTGCTCCGTAACTGGATCAATTACATGCTAAGGAACAGATGGGTAAGCTGCGAGATGTACGATATAACTATCAGGAAAAAGGTATTTCGCGGTATACCACAGGGTGGCATTTTGTCACCTTTACTCTGGGTTACCACGATTAATAGCCTCCTAATGCCCCTAACCGAAAAAGGACTTAGACCTGTCTGCTATGCAGACGATGTCGTAATACTTTTAAAGGGAAAGGATCCAAATTACTTGTGTAGAAGAGCTGAGGAGGCTCTGAATACGGCCTTGAGCTGGGCTCAACCGAGAGGCCTCAATGTTAACCCGGCGAAGACGGAAATCTGTCTTTTCACAAGAAAGACAAAAATTTCTACATATACTGAACCTTGCTTCCTGGGCAAGAAGATACCGGTGACAGACAAAGTTAAGTACTTAGGTGTAATACTTGACCGGAAATTAAAATGGAGACACCACATAGAGGATAGGATCAACAAGGCACATCGGTGCTGGGCGATATGTAGGAGAACCATAGGCATGAAATGGGGTCTTAGTCCTACTATGACAAATTGGCTTTATAAAAGTGTAATTAGACCAATTCTAGCTTATGCTTCAATAATCTGGTGGACTGCTTTGGACAAAAAGTGTAATATCAAACTACTACAGGGAGTTCAGCGTACATGCTGCTTGGGAATAAGTGGTGCCATGTGTACTACTTCAACCAAGGCTCTGGAAACGTTGCTAGATATTCCACCCATTGAAACATATATAAGATATGAGGCGGCGCTTACAGCCGAACGGCTCTTTACTTTAGGCGAACTGGCCAAAAACGGTTATAGGACACGTCATCAATGTATAATGGACACATTGGAAGGTTATACACATTCATCGGACGTGCCTGATCGCAAACCAGATACTGAATATGTCGGAAACTTTGAAACGCTAATCCCAGATATAATGTCTTGGTCAAGCGAAACATTAGAGCAAATACCATTAGGAATCCGTTGCTACACGGATGGCTCTAAATTAGGGGACAAAGTGGGCTTGGGGTTCTATATTGAAGACCCAGAAACAGAAATATACCACCGTTTACCAAATCATAACACAAGCTTCCAGGCAGAAGTACGAGCAATAACGGAATGTGTAAATTGGATTATAATAAATATGGCGCCCACAGCGCTTAATATACTTACCGATAGCCAGAAGGCAATTAGGGCGATATTAGGCGATAGAACTAAATCTAAGACCGTATTGGATTGTAAGAAAGCTTTAACTGAATACTCTCCCAGAGGTAAGGTTCACATCATATGGGTACCAGGCCACTCGGGAGTAATCGGCAACGAAAGGGGGAATGTAATAGCTTTAAAGGGTAGGGAGCTAGAGGCAGTTAACCTGACAAACGCGAAACCATTCGACGCTACAAAAGCTGAACTAAAATTATGGGTGAGAGAATCCCATAAGGCCTCTTGGAATAATGAAACAGTGGGTAGTACCACGAAGATCCTATGGGGTGACCCTGATGAGAGCAAGACGAAAAATCTCCTCAAAATGAGCAAGTCTGAAGTTAGTATGATGGTACGTATTCTGAGTGGACACACAGGATTACGAGCACATCTATACAAAATTGGACGTGCGGATTCAGACGAATGTAGAGCATGTGGAGAGGACAGTGAAACTCTGTAGCAATTTCTTTGCCATTGTCAGGCATTCGTCGAAGTTAGATCCAAGTATCTTGGAAGTGATGTTATTCCGGAAATAACATTCTTAACCAACACCGATTGGAAGATTCTTAGGAATTACGTCCAGGAAACTGAGTTTCTGAACATGGAAAAATAATACATTCAGTGAACAAATTTTTTTTTTTCTTGAATTGGAGCGCACAACAGGCCCGATAGTGGCCTAGGTGTACTTCTTCGGATTTGATGTAGTATACATCCTCCTATCAACCTAACCTAACGTGCTTTTCATCGATGTGCAATTTGTTTCCAGTTCTTTCGTATATTTTATAAATTATTTTGAAAACATGATCATCTTTAAACGTGCTTTTCATCGATGTGCAATTTGTTTCCATTTCTTTCGTAATTTCTAATATTTTTCAAATAACAAGTTTGCCTGTGTTTCAAAATTATCAAAATTATCAAAATATTTCATTACTTTTTTTGCTAATTCGCCCTCCCTTATATTTTAGAAGACTTAATATTCCAGAATTCACACTTTTTACTAAAGTTTTTATTATATTTTGATCAATATTTGATGATTCCTGAGAAATTCTATTTTTTCGTATATTAAGGTTTTCGTACAGTTGATTTCCCAAGTAAACTAGATTGGGTTGTATCCCCCAAAGATTTTCCATGGACTTTACATCTAGTTAGCACTGCTGACTACTCTTAAGCAGGTGTATTTTTGGTGTTAAACCAGTTTTTGAAAAATCTAATGTTGGGTATAAAAGCATTTTCTTGTTGAAAATTTAGTTTTTTGTTGGACTTTGTGTCATGAAAAACACAAAATTAATTTCTAGAGTTCTGGTGTAGGACGTGTTGTTAATTTTATATGACAGAAATTGGAATTGGAAACAGACGTCGGAGCACTAAGCATCAGCAACCCATCACCAAAATTTCTCTTGGAAAAGTTTAGGGAATCCTTGCTCATATCTTTCCAATATCCTCAATTTTCTATCTGGATTCCACTTTTTTCCTTCGAAAATATAAACTAATGTAAAATGTATAGTCGGTCGAGGCCGACCATATAATACCCTACACCTGTTGCCTGTTTTGTCGAGATACGACTATATTAAACATAATTATGAACTTAAAATCCCTATTCATCGGGTTCAGTTGTATGGGGGCTAGGTGAAATAATGGACCGATTTTAACCATCATCTCTGCCAAATTTTATTGAATTACCTTCAAAATTGCGACTTGTAGTTTGATTACAAGGTTTACAAGCCCTATTCGGGGGTTCACTTGTATGGGGGCTAGGTGAGAAAATGGACCGATGTTAACCATTTTCAATAGGCTTTGTCTCCGATACCATAGAAGATCATGTGCAAAATTTCATTGAATTATCTTCAAAATTGCGAGCTGTAGTTTGATTACAAGCTTTACAAGCCCTATTCAGGGGTTCAGTTGTATGGGGGCTAGGTGAAATAATTTTACCTTTTGCTGGGCCAGAGTGAACAAAATCTACATGGCATATCAAAGACACAATTTTTTTCTTTATTTTAGGACCAATTATATCCAAGATTTATGGCCTACTAAGTTGAAACATTAAAATAACGGAAAACTTCCAGAAATGCAACAAAAATAATTTCAAGTTTGTTTTTTTTTGTATATTTATAAATAGTAAATGCAAAAATGTATTATTTTTAAAAATTGTTTGTAGATCCATTCAATACTTGAAGAGAAATTCGAAAAATATATTTGATCTTATAATTTTAAAACACACCTTATGACTTAAAGAACGTTAGAGTTAGATTTACATATACATATATGGGCAATTTCGTGTCAAGGGATCCAACTCAAAAGATCGATTTGGATGAAATTTGCACCAAGGTTATAGTACTAACCTGGATAGTAGGCCAGACACAAATGTTCAGAAAATTAATTGCCAAATCTGAAAAAAATTTATTCTTGAGTTAAGGAAATAATTTTTTTGATAGATATCCCACTCGCATTCCATTATGGGACTATGAAGCCCTTAAAGGAAATTGTATGAGCTTTCATCTGACCAAAAAAAAATTAAAAAAATAATAATTTTTTTGGAAGCAATGTATTAATAGCTATCTGAATTCCTTTGGACAATTTTTTCTAGGACCAGTAGGGGAAAAGTTACACACATTTGAATAAAACCCTGTATAATCAAAAGGCCCCTCTAAGTCCGACAGTTCTTGACCGATTGAGCTGAAAATTTGTGTTTGACCTATTATCCAATTGTACCTAGTATCCAATAGTATTAACTTTTAAAATCGGAAGACATCGATTTTGAAAGTTGGGTCACAAAATTGCCCATATATATTTCATAATAATTTGTTAACATATGAGTATTATTACCTTGATGTCGCTACTACACCTTACAACGACATCTTGTCCTGCCATATTTGTTGTTGCTGTCATTTGCCCATTTGAAGTGGCAACAAGGTGTACATTGATATCAGATCCAACTAGATCTCCTTTACCTGAAAAAAATTTATTGTTATATTTTTATATTCAAATTGAAAGCAACTTATGTAAGCATTTTAAAACTTATACTATTTTGCAAGGTTGGAATCGATATCGATTAAATGCCGTTTAAAGTTGAATATCGGTATTAATACCAATACCGAATTCAAAAAACCGTGTCTGTGTTCTGTATTTTTTGAGTAGAGAAAAAAACATTGAAGTACAATAGTCTTCCACTTTTTAGTTGTGCGATTCAAAAAATTTTTAAACTGAACACATTATAATTAACCAAAATATATTTGAATTACGTGTGTTCACCCTCTTTTAAACAAGACGATTATAAATTTTTAGAATTTTTTTGTAGAAAGTTACAGAACACAGGCATTGCATTTAAATAATAAGTTTATTTAAAAATGGTTTTTATATCAAGCATTCAAGTATTATCTATTATGTTAATTGTTTTAAGCTGCAGGAAGTGGTTTAAAAATTCAGTTAAAATTTTCATCAACAATGTTTTGTGTTTTTTCGAAACTTATATCTAAACTATTATAATTACGTATAGAATGGTATGACGTTGGTCGTAGTGTCGGAGAATCGAAGGGAAGGTAAACAGATGCAAGGTAAATGTTGCTACAACCTTGCTTCAGCACAGTATTATCCAATGTTGACAATCCTGTTGAGAAGCGAAAACATAAGTTCTTGTGATATAAGATACATGTTCCAACCTTTTTCTTATTTTTTCTTTGTGCCTCTTCAACCAGTTTCATCAGATCCGACGTTGGTGGTAGTGTCGGAGAATCGAAGGGCAGGTAAACAGATGCAAGGTATATGTTGCTACGAAATGTATTAAACTTGGAAGCCCCACTCGAAAGTAAAACCGACTTGTCCCATAATTTGTTATTTTTTATCTCTAGATGTCGAATTTTTAAATGGGAACTTATTCCATTTTAAAATTAGGGATTTGTTTCATATGAAATAAATCCACAAAAAAGGGGTATTCTTTGGCGTCATAAAATAACTCCCCACGAAATAACTTCCCAAAACAAAAATGAAATAAGTCCTCAAATTTGGGGACTTATTTCATTATTAAATAATTCCCCATTTTAAAAATGAAAAAAAGCCCCAACGAAATGAAATAACTTCATAAATTAAAATGAAATAACACCTCATTTTTTAGGGATTAATTTCATATGAAACAAATCCCTAATTTTAAAATGAAATAAGTTCCCATTTAAAAATAACAAATTATGGAACAAGTCGGTCTTAGTGACATTTCTAAAAAAAGTAGGTCGCTCATACTTTCGAGTGGGGCTTCAAAGTTTAATACATTTCAGTTTAATCGCTTAATAAAGATTCCCTTAATAGCCGGCCTGCGGCCGGGCGCAAGGACTTTCAACTCTATGGTATGTCCAACAACGGCTTCGCTTAATAAATATTTCCTAAATAGCTGGCCTACGGCCGGGCGCAAGGATTTACCACTCTATAATATGACCAACACCGGCTTCGCTTAATAAAGATTTCCTAAATAGCCGTCCTAAGGCCGAACACTTTTGATACAAGGAGAGTGTATTCTTAGCGAAGCCGGTGTCCAATGTACCCCAGAGTATAAAACCCTTGCGCCCGGCCGAAGGCCGGCTATCAGACATATATTATTTATTTCGTGTGACAAATGTAATATAATGAAATAACTCCCCAAAAATATTTTTAGGGTTTTATTTCATTTTTGAATTTTGAGAAATTATTTCATAACGAAATATCTCCCCATTTTAAATGTGAAATAATGCCCCAAAAAACGAATTAAATCCCCAAATTTCGTTGTTTTTGCTTTCTGAACAAATCTTTAGGGAGTTATTTCTTTTTTGTTTTGGGGAGTTATTTCATGACGCCATTTATTTCATATGAAAAAATCCCTAATTTTAAAATGAAATAACTTTCCATTTAAAAGTAACTGTTTTTGTGAAGGGGAAAGGGGAACAAATAGATTATTCTTAAATATTGCAAATTGTATTTACTGTAGTTTATTTTTATTGTTGTCCACTTTAAATAAAAAAAAATACAAGAACCTCTTTTTCTTTATGTATTTAAGTGTTGTTCTGTTTATTACAATGAATAAGTTTTGTTTGCTTGATAGCCGCTGTTTTTTGTCGTTCGCTGGTCACTGATCAACTGAACTGCATGCATTTAAGAAACGCAATTATATGTACGTACATATGAAGTATGCGGCGAATTCAAATAGAGAGAGAGACATACAAAGAGCATAATAAAAACAACCATGCATTTACATGCATTCCAGTACACTAGTGGTGAATTAAATAAGAGCAGTTCAGTGCCAGTTGAATAATAATAATAATAATAATAATAATAATAATAATAATAATAATAATAATAATAATAATAATAATAATAATAATAATAATAATAATAATAATAATAATAATAATAATAATAATAATAACAATAATAATAATAATAATAATAATAATAATAATAATAATAATAATAATAATAATAATAATAATAATAATAATAATAATAATAATAATAATAATAATAATAATAATAATAATAATAATAATAATAATAATAATAATAATAATAATAACAAAAGTTTAATACATTTCAGTTTAATCGATTAATAAAGATTGCCTTATTCCCGCAAGGACTTTCTACTCTATGGTATGTCCATCAACGGCTTCGCTTAATAAATATTTCCTAAAGAGCCAGCCAACGGCCGGACGCACTGATTTACTACTCTATAATATGACCAACACCGGCTTCGCTTAGTAAAGATTTTCTAAATAGCCGGCCTAAGGCTGAACACTCTTGATACAGGGATAGTGTATTCTTAACGAAGCCAGTGTCCAATGTACCCCAGAGGATAAAACCCTTGACGCCGTATTCTTTCAATTTAATTTAGGAAGTTATTTCATTTGGTTGAAGCTTTTTCTCATTTTTAAATTGGGGAATTATTTCATAATGATATAAATTTGAGGAGTTATTTCATTTTTGTTTTGGGGGGTTATTTCGTGAGGAGTTATTTCATGACGCCGTTGCTACGACCTTGCTTCAGCACCGTATTATCAGATGTTTACAATCCTGTTGAGGGGAAAAAACATAAGTTCTTGCGACATAAGATATATGTTCTCGGGCGAGACTCTGCATCAGCGTAGAAAAGTTGGAAATGTACGTGATTTGATCCAGAAACCGTATTTCGAATCGTCCTGGGTTCCTGGACTAAAGCTATTTGTATCTACCTATGTTTATTTTAGCCACCATAGCGTTGGTAGCCGTCTCGCTCCGATGTAGGTTTACTTGGATAACGTCAATCATGGTTATAAATTAAACTGTCTTCTAGTTGGTGATTTGACCATGTAGCCTGAAGTGACTATTGAAATAACTCCCTAAAACAAAAATTAAATAAGGCGTCATCAATAGGCGTCGAACTCCCCACGAAATAACTTCCCAAAACAAAAATGAAATAAGTCCTCAAATTTGGGGACTTATTTCATTATTAAATAATTCCCCATTTTAAAAATGAAAAAAAGCCCCAACGAAATGAAATAACTTCATAAATTAAAATGAAATAACACCTCATTTTTTAGGGATTAATTTCATATGAAACAAATCCCTAATTTTAAAATGAAATAAGTTCCCATTTAAAAATAACAAATTATGGAACAAGTCGGTCTTAGTGACATTTCTAAAAAAAGTAGGTCGCTCATACTTTCGAGTGGGGCTTCAAAGTTTAATACATTTCAGTTTAATCGCTTAATAAAGATTCCCTTAATAGCCGGCCTGCGGCCGGGCGCAAGGACTTTCAACTCTATGGTATGTCCAACAACGGCTTCGCTTAATAAATATTTCCTAAATAGCTGGCCTACGGCCGGGCGCAAGGATTTACCACTCTATAATATGACCAACACCGGCTTCGCTTAATAAAGATTTCCTAAATAGCCGTCCTAAGGCCGAACACTTTTGATACAAGGAGAGTGTATTCTTAGCGAAGCCGGTGTCCAATGTACCCCAGAGTATAAAACCCTTGCGCCCGGCCGAAGGCCGGCTATCAGACATATATTATTTATTTCGTGTGACAAATGTAATATAATGAAATAACTCCCCAAAAATATTTTTAGGGTTTTATTTCATTTTTGAATTTTGAGAAATTATTTCATAACGAAATATCTCCCCATTTTAAATGTGAAATAATGCCCCAAAAAACGAATTAAATCCCCAAATTTCGTTGTTTTTGCTTTCTGAACAAATCTTTAGGGAGTTATTTCTTTTTTGTTTTGGGGAGTTATTTCGTGGGGAGTTATTTCATGACGCCATTTATTTCATATGAAAAAATCCCTAATTTTAAAATGAAATAACTTTCCATTTAAAAGTAACTGTTTTTGTGAAGGGGAAAGGGGAACAAATAGATTATTCTTAAATATTGCAAATTGTATTTACTGTAGTTTATTTTTATTGTTGTCCACTTTAAATAAAAAAAAATACAAGAACCTCTTTTTCTTTATGTATTTAAGTGTTGTTCTGTTTATTACAATGAATAAGTTTTGTTTGCTTGATAGCCGCTGTTTTTTGTCGTTCGCTGGTCACTGATCAACTGAACTGCATGCATTTAAGAAACGCAATTATATGTACGTACATATGAAGTATGCGGCGAATTCAAATAGAGAGAGAGACATACAAAGAGCATAATAAAAACAACCATGCATTTACATGCATTCCAGTACACTAGTGGTGAATTAAATAAGAGCAGTTCAGTGCCAGTTGAATAATAATAATAATAATAATAATAATAATAATAATAATAATAATAATAATAATAATAATAATAATAATAATAATAATAATAATAATAATAATAATAATAATAATAATAATAATAACAATAATAATAATAATAATAATAATAATAATAATAATAATAATAATAATAATAATAATAATAATAATAATAATAATAATAATAATAATAATAATAATAATAATAATAATAATAATAATGATAATA